CACCATATTGATAAGTAGAATACATACCCACATGACTGTCGCCCTCCTGTCCTCGGCAACCGTCTTGGTTAGTCCAAACCAAAAAGTGGGAGCACTGGACTCGATTTCACTCTTATTAGTGTACTATTGGGGAATGAACGCAATTCTTAACGGAATTTCGTAGCTCAAAGTTTCGAGCACATAAGACCAACTAAACCAGGAACGAACGGATGGAAAAGAGCATGATTAAGGGACTGTGCCACATGGTGTCAGCAGTGAGACGGTCGGCTTTTTATGCACTATTCTGAATAGTCAAGTTCATGTTTGGACGTGTGGATTGTGTCGAGGCTGAAAAAGCTATAACGTGTGTTGATTTTTTATTGTTGATCAGTCCTGTCCGTGTGGTATTGGCTTCGGCAAGGCTAAGTATTGAACGGTTGTGCTGCACAATTGCCATAGCCTACAGGTGGCAGTTAACAGTTTGCTAAGCGGCAAGCCAAAGGCAACTGTGGTAGCTGCGTTTGATGCTTTCAGTGTGCTGTCTCCGCTTCTTCGTATTAGTGAACGGTCTGCTTATCACTTTTCTTCCAATCGATATCGAAGCGCTAAAGTTTTATGACAATTCGTGGAAGAAGCCTCAGCAGCTTCAAGAGAGCATCCAATTAAACAACTTGTATCACCTCGACGATCAAATCCCAAGATGTGATATACCTATGAATAGAACGATCAATCGAACATTACCGATTTCTCTGGATAATTGTCCGCAGGATTGTCTGGTCCTTCAGGACTAGCCTTCGAGGAAAATGCTAAAAGAAATAATCGCTTCTCAATTCTTGTATTATCGAAAAAAGTATGTTTGTGCATACCTAAAGCCACTTGATTTCAGGCTTACATCAACCAATGCTTTCCTTGTGTTTCAATAGGACAAGTTAACCGCGTTACCTTATCCTTCAAATGTTTTCTACAGTTGGAAGTTGTATTGTAAAGCAGCCCCATGCCTATGTCGAGATACCCAGCGAATGATATGGTGTCAAAAAGGCAGAGCGGCGACGACGGCAGAAATTCATTCAGGCTTGTCAGTCAGCACACTCTTCCGGTATTTCAGTGGATATCTATTACTGCTGCTCTAACCTGGCCTTCGTTGCAATCCCTAAGTTACCGGCTACGAATCGATACTTCCCACCCATATCCGCATGGCCAGTCGTAAATTATTTCTCTGAAAGCCCAGCGATGCTGGTGGGTTGGTTTCTGACTACCTTGAACCGTGTCAATTCGTACTCTGCCGCTGGCTCCTCAGCACGCTACTGAATGTGTCCTACCAATTCCGAGAAGTTAAGCAGGCTACCGAATGGTACCATTGCCACCAGGATTCACATTTTATTCTTCAGAGAGGGAAATATGCGTGATGTTCTACTTATCGTTCGGCTCACAATTTACTATCCTGCTTCGGACGACACAGTAACATGCAAAACAAGCAGGGGTGCATTGTCAGCCATGGATCGGCATTCAACACGCCGGATAATAAGCTTAGTCAGATCTAGTGGGGATTCTAGAGCCTTATACGAGGAACTCATGAGGTTACTGTCAGTGAAAATTAGAGAACGAATCTGTGTGGGATGTGAGTGGTCAGCTACGAGACCTTTGTGAAACCTTTGCTACCGATAGAGATGCGGCGCTGTATCTACACCTTGTTGATGTAATCACGGGGGCGAATAGGTGTTTCCTTTGAATCTACCGCAACAACTGGTGAGTTTCTGCTTGACAAGTCTATTCTGACTACTTTTGATGAGTCACCAGATACGAAGCTCATGCGAATCACCTACCTATACGCCACTATGAGGGGAAATTCCAACAAGAGTTATCCAGTTGCGCAAAGCTATGTTACACAACCAGCTCGCTAGCCTTCCGGGTCTGGCCCCAACTTAGCATAGCCTGAAGACGAAGTGGAAGAAAAATCATCACAATCCTATCAAACAGTTCGATATTTCCTGGAATAAATTCCCGGGCAATGTCGAGATTTGTTTGGGAAACACCAGTCGATCGGCGTGCGCTTCCTTTTTCATAAACAGGGTCCGCTTTAAGTAATCCCATGGAAATCTTCCTCTGGACATTATGGTTAAATCAAGGTGAACATAGAATCATGGAATGTAGCAAAACTTCTCTTGGATTGCCATCAGGTACCACAATAACAGTCCAGTGTTCTGTCGTCCAGGCTATTGTAGCGTTTGAGAACTGTGGTAATAAGACAAGGCCTTTTCAATTTGTAGTGTTTGCGTCTCATTTCAGCGAAAAACGGTTACCCTATCTATCTATGCGTGTGGTACTTGGGTATTTCCCTAATTTCCCGCTTACGCGTATCCTTTTTTGCTTAATTTTTGCTCATCCTAACTACCCGCCATTCGTGGAAAATAGTCAGACTAGGTCTGCTTAAAACAGTATGTCATCATCGCAGTACGTGTGACGCTCAGGCCAACTACCAGACTGAATCATCCATGCTCGCATTCCACATGTGGTGATGACGAGACAGGTATTCGTCACTGCACATTTCGATCGCATGTAAGTCATTGTGAGATTCATGTGATCAACTTGGAGAACAAATGTACTCTACTTAGGAATGCCATTTATCTGTGTGGAACTCCACAGTCCTGTTGCCAAATGTCAGCCCGAGGTTGTTTTGAAAAAGAGCCCTATAAATAATAAACACTCGAAGTCACGTCGACAATCGATATGCCTCCGTGAACGACAAATAGAATAAAGGAAAGAGTTTTCAGCAACCTTGTGAGTAGTTTCCTCTGTGAAAACATACTGCGATATCCCGAATATCGTGCCAACTGAATCATGAGGCGGCCTGTGTGCAGAACATTCAGCTGGAGGACATCATAAACGAGAGATTTAATTGAGCCTCCCGTGAAAACCAAATTGATTTGCAGATGAGTTTAATTGAGCTCCCGTGAAAACCAAATTGATTTGCAGATGAGTGTATTTCTCGACAAATAGAATACTTTCGGTTGTAAAACCGACAAATTTCCGAACATCCGCTCGATACTCTTCTACCTTTAAATAAATCGGCCTGATTCAATGCTGAAAAACTCGGTAGATGGTCATGATCGATTCCGAACGCACTCATCTTGGTCTGTAGCCTTCTGATACTGTCCAAAACGACTGGATGGTATCTCAAAAGGCGGCGAACGTATTCAAAGGAGCAGAATATGCGACAGGGCACTATGGAACAGGAAGGAAGAACGCACTAACGGATACTACAGCTCCATCTAGATAATTGTGACAATCAGACTATGTGACATCACTCACTCACCTAGCACACTGCAAACAGGGATAGACACAGGAGGGAAATTTGTCCATATCGACACGAATGATTGCGTCGACCTACCTTTGGTTGAAAACGAAATAGCTCATCTACTCGAACGACAACGTTTTGGAATGAAATACTCTAGCGCAGGCTCATCTAGAATTTTCCCATATTGATACAAATAGGCATGTCGCTTAACCGAAATCGACTGTTCCCAATACACATCACTCACGAGTAAAATTCAGGCGCTTCGTTCAGATGTCTCCGCTTACGGAATAGTTGATATCTGAATTGTGTCACCACATGTCTTTTACAAGAGCTATGTTTGGTTATATGGTGTCCCATTTTAGAGTTTGTCTACATCTATTGTCGGGGATTTGGTTAACCAATATTTCACTTGATTTTATCTTCGAGATAATGTATTGCAAATAAATCTTGTGACGAAGCACTTTCTTATTGATTCAATTGTAAGATAAAAACCAAAATCCACGCATTGCTTTGAGAAATTTGAACAAAATAGTCTTACACTGATTGCAGCTCCCGCGAATGTGAATTAACTG